CATGCACATAGCACCCCAGGCCTGAAATTGAACCCAGGGCCCAAAATGCCGTTTTAAAATACCTTAAAGGTTATTGAAATTCTTGTGTTCCAAAAAGAACAAAGAAGAATGCAATGCTTCAGTCATCGCATATGCCAGCAACCATATCACCCTGCAACTCACAACTGGTAACCCACTGAAGCTAAGCAGGTGTGAGCCTGGTCAGTACCTGGATGGGAGACCTCGTGGGAAAAACTAAGGTTGCTGGTGCTGGAAGAGGTGTTACTGGGGCCAGCAGGGGGCGCACACACTGAGGTCCATGTGGGTCCTAATGCCCCAGTGTATTGATGGGGACACTATACTGTAAGCAGGCGCCGTCCTTCGAATGAGACGTAAAACTGAGGTCCTGACTCTCTCTGGTCATTAAAAATCCCAGGGCGTTTCTCGAAAAGAGTAGGGGTGTAACCCCGGTGTCCTGGACAAATTTCCCATTGGCCCTTACCATACCTCTTAATAATCCCAATCTGTGAATTGGCTACATTACTCTGCTATCCTCCCTACTGATAGCTGATGTGTGGTGAGCGTTCTGGTGCACTATGGCTGCCGTTGCATCATCCTGCACATTGGTGGTGGAGGGGAGTCCCCATTACCTGTAAAGTGCTTTGAGTGGAGTGTCCAGAAAAGCGCTATATAAGTGTAAGCAATTATTATTAATTATCACTCAAAAGCGTTAATGCTGGATGTTACGGCTTTTGCCACCATCTAACCTTTTGCTCCATTAAATAAAGCGGCCTGCTCTTTACTCAGAAAACCTGCTGATCCTTGCTGCAGTTTTTGTTTTCAAAATACTAAACGCTGAAATCTTGTCTCACACTGTGCCAAACTAATCTCTCAATTTTCTTTTGGTTTGAAATACCCTCTGCAGCTTTTAGATGTGCCCACAGCACCATAATGCCATCATTTCCTAATGAAAGATCATGCTGCTCTGAGGTGCAAACAAAATTCAAGGGCAAATTAATGGAACATGGGGATCTCCAAAACTGAATGAAAGGCTTAACGTCTTTACATACTGAAGCTTCACAATGACAAACAAAGTACTGCGTGCAAGAAATTTCACAAACAACAAAAGCGAAGACCTGATCACTCCAATGCTTAGATCTTTGCACTGGCTGTCTGTAGATTTTAAGATTCCAGGTTACAACTAGAATATATGAAGTCCTTCATGCATTTGAACCGGCCTGCCTTCAAGTGCTGTTCAGTGCACATTTAACAGATCATTCAATTAGATTTGAGAATGTAGAAACACTGGTGTACCCAGACATATTTTAATGTTAGCTAAGTAACATTTTTTTATTCCAAGGCTCCCCACTTTTGGGACTCTTTCTTCTCTTTCTCATCAAACTCAGACATTAAAATTCCTCAATTTTAAAAGCAAACTGAGAACAACTATTAAGATGTTTTGTTTCTGCAATAATCTGTAACTGGATTTGTGCACTCTGGGATGCCTAAGCGTGAATATATCACGAAGAATAACTATATATTTGATTACAAATTTGTATTGCAGTGTGCAAGGGTTGGACAGCTAATTTATTTTAATTATGGGATATTGTTTTTAGTCATGGTTGGCCAAAAACAGATCTACTGCATTTTGGTATGATTTAAGTGTATGGAAAATGAGTAATTCTTCCATATCGGTTCAATAAATTATACCGCTATTCAGAAAACCAGGGCAACAGTGTACACAGTTGTTCCCACCCACTGCAGCTGCAAAGAAAAATATTTCCACAAGTACAGATCTGAAGTGCTGTCAAGAGCTCCTTTGTATCAAGGCAGCAGGCAAGGAGAGCATTTCTTTAAATCAAAGAATAAGGGAAAAAAATGATCTCCTTGTAATTCTGACAAGGAACAAGTTTTAGATTATTTCTTTTTTGTTTTCCACAAGGAACCAGCCTTTCCCCAAACATGAAAATAAAAAAGATAAAACAGCAATTAATTGGAGACTGGATTTTAATATAATCGAGCTATACTGATGTTCAGTTTTACTCCAAGATTAGAAGTATGATAATTTTAACAAGAACCTAAATTTTAGTCTCTGGATCTTTTTATCTAGGTTTTAAAGACCAAGAGTAGATTTGAAATGCAGAACAAATATTTAATGTCTCTCTCCCTTGCAATGTCCCACCTTAAAGGCAACATTAACCTGAACTGTTTCAAAGTTATCTATAAAAAAACATTTACTGTTTATAGAATTCAAACATCTACAGGTAACTCAGTTGACATTTCTTCAGATTGATACAAATGTACCCAATGTGTCTATACTGAACATATCAATAACTCTGGCTGCTACATCTCTGCTTAGAGCTTATAATAAATGTGCACCATGAGCCTGACAGCTTTTGTGTTTGAGGCATTACACAAACAGATGTTGAGAAATTATGATCCTTTGCCATTGAACTGTAACCACCAAATGAATTCACAATCTTCCATAATTGTATAAAAAAACGTGACAAATATCCCTAATTCTTCACAGTGCAAATGTGCACAAATTATAACGAGCCCCAATAGAATTAAAATATTTATATAAACATATAATAAAAAGAAAACTGTAGAGACCTGTAAAAAAACAAGCTTCTTAAAAGGCAAAATGACATTTGCCTCTCACCTTCTATATGTGGAACAAACAAACAAATGTTTTTTGTGATGATCAATTGGGCTACAGTCTACATACCAGAATGTATTTTTCAGTTCTGGTTAAGCAGAGATCTCAATATTCCCAAATATATTATACGTGTCTAAATAAGAATATAACAAATTGTTTAATGGACAACTGAAGTTGGAACAGAAATTGACACTAATGCTTTACATAAAGTGTGACAAGATGCAAAGCTAAATCTGGTTGCTTTTAAAAAAGTACTGGGTGAGATCCGGATAATTAATATTTGCCAGTAGCCTGATCACCCTGCAGCTCACAACTGGCAACCCACTGAAGCTAAGCAGGTGTGAGCCTGGTCAGTACCTGGATGAAAGACCTTCTGGGAAAAATTAAGGTTGCTCCTGGAAAAGGTGTTAGTGGGGTCTGTGTGGGTCCTAATGCCGCCAATATAGTGATGGGGACAGTATACTGTAAAAAGGCTTTGGATGAGACGTAAAACTGAGGTTCTGACTTTCTGTGGTTATATAAAATCCCAGGGCGTTTCTTGAAAAAAGAAGGGTTGTTACCCAGAGGTCCTCACAGAATTTCTCATTGGTCTTTACCAATCATGGCCTCCTAATAATCCCCAGCTATAAATTGGCTTCATCACTCTGTTCTCCTCCCCACTGATAGCTGGTGTGTGGCGAGAGTCCTGGGAGCTATGGCCACTGTCGCATCATCCAGGTGGGGCAGCACATTGGTGGTGGTGGAGGGGAGTCCCCATTTCCTGTAAATTGCTTTGAATGGAGTGTCCAGAAAAGCACTATATAAGTTTAAGCAATTGTTATTATCATCATTATTGTCATCGTCAATTAGCTGATAATAACTCAATGAATCTCAATATATTCTTACAATGATTGAAACGGGGAAAAAAAATTGAGGGGGTAAACCACAGCAGAAATATGAATATGTTGTATCTTCACCAGAGACAATACAACAGAAACAGACTGGACATGTATCCCAAATAACACAAATCACCCAAACCACCTCCTGAGGGCGGCAAGTAAATACAGACAAATATTTCACAAAGTCGGATTCATAGAGTGGTACCTTATTAAAAAAACTGAACTATTAGCTAGAAAAAGGCCTAAAAAATACGAGGGACAGTAAAATCATGACAAATGCAATTGGGTCTGATACTCATTCGTTGCACTTTTAATGCCTGTCAGTGCTGTATATACAATCCATTATCATTCATCCATTTTGTAATCTTCTTCCAAATCCATCATTGTAAAGATGCTTATTCCTTGCAAGGACGGACCTAGAAACATAAGGCACAAGGCAGGAGAAAAGCCTACATAACATAAGGTCACTTTATTGGCCATATACAATTTCTTGCATTAGGAATTTGTCTTTTCGCATCTCCCAGCCAGCTCCATGAGACACACAGGCACACAGACAGGGAGAGAAGCTTGGGGTCAGAGTGCAGGGTCAGCCATTATACAGCACCCCTGGAGCAGTTGGGGTTAAGGGCCTTGCTCTGGGGCCCAACGGAGTAGGATTCCTCCACCGGCCGAGGGATTTGAACCAGCAACCTTCCAGCCAGGCATAGATCCTTAGCCAGCGCTTCGCCCCTGACATGTGACAATAGTCTATCACAGGCTATGCCCATAGAGGCACATGGACACAGGGACAGTTTCAAGACAGCGTTAAAGCAGGCCAGACTACAAAAAAACTGAGATTTCAGGCAACCTGCCACTTGAGGTGCATCAGTAAACAACTGGGTGGCAATGAGCTAATTGGTGGTTAGATATATATATATGGGGCTATTTACTAGCATGTTTGGGGCTAATTCACAGTGTTAGGTTGTGGCTGGGTTTTGGTAACAGACTGGACAAGCCTGTTGTAGAGCCTTTATTGGAAATCTAATGGAAGCTCTGTAAGAAATCCTTTTGCTCTACTGCTAATGCCCACTACTAGTCTTTAATGTGTTCAGATCTCTGGAGCCACCATGGGGGGAGGATGGCCATAACACCAATTAACCTAGCCTGCGTGTCTTTGGAAGGTGGGAGTAATGTCTCACTGGTGAAACCTTATGCCAACCTAGAAAGAACACCTAAACTTCACAAAGAAGGCACCCCAATATGGACTCAAACCCAGAAACTCAAAACCCCTGCACTGAGTAAATAAACAGAAAATGTCAAGAACAGATTTTTTTTTTTTGCAGGTTATAAAGACAAGCCAAATGCAGCCGAGTTTCATATGGCACCCAGAATAAACAGATGTGTTCAAAAATCAGTAGTCAGAATTCCTAATCGGTAGCACTCTCTTTAAAAAAAAAATGTAGGGCATTAATCAAAAACTTTCCACAGTCGTTTCTGAAACTTACCCAGAAGAGAAAATTGAACACAAAGAGAAGATACTTCAAACAGACAGTGATCCAGTCATCTTGTTCATCTTTATAGTGTCGAGACATCTTTTCTCCTGAAACCAAAAAATACATGGTTTTATACTGTATGCAGGAAAAAGATCTCAAGCTCAAAAGGCCCCTATGGAGTCAATTAGATATAACAGCAGGTTTCCCTAGTTAAATATCAGATCTACTTTTAAATTCAGTACTTTGCTTTCACTGTAAGGAGTGGGGGAAAGGTCATACAGTTCCATGAAATACAGCCAGTCAAAGGGCCTCTCTTTGTTTCTCAATTTACTTTTATAAAAAAAAATGTGGTAAAAGTTCAAGTTCAAGTTTATTGTCATTACACTCATATACATGGTATATGGTATAACGAAATGCTATTTAGGTAGCTCTCGGACATAAGTAGTACAAAGAGAAAAAAAACACAACAACAACAACAACAAAACAATTGTGTAGCAAAAGAAAAACAGAGACAAAAGGCAGTGTGCAAAAAACAACAGACATATCAGGTCTGCAGTTTTTATAAAGAGGGTAAGTGCAGGTTTCTGACACTTCAGACTGTCCAAGAACACTGTATCGGTACTATGTATTAAAATAAATAATACCTGATAAAATGCTTTTAGAAGGAAAAAGGATATACAGTAAAATTTAAAATAACAGACAACCCATCTATTTTGAGCAGTCCACCATTTTTACAGTCTTCTGGGAACAGGAAATGTCAACTGAATGATGGCTTGGCCCACTCAATTCACTTGCTTACTGTACTGTGCTCAATTTAGTAGTCTACTGTGATGTCTATGTTTTTAACTGATACACTCAGGAATGTCACTTTTGAACGTGGCAAAGAAATTTAAATAAATGCTTTGACTTCTCTCACACCCAAACGCACAGCAATTAGCTCAGAAGAAAAACATTGCAGCATTAGGACTAAAGTTTAAAGTTTTGGATGTGTTGATATTTTCCATTTCTAAATGCTTTGCTTCTGAAACTGTAGTTTTATCACTTTAACTGTAAAAATCTTTTCAGCTGCAGCGTCTTATTACCACTAAACAAAGGAGTAGGACTGACATACATAATTGTTCCAAATATTTCCCCTTGTACACAGGCTGCAGATGAAGGTAATTTCATATAAAAAAACTTAAAAGCTAGCAAGGTCAGCAAATTAAGCAACCTCAAAGGCAAAACTTAAAATTATCCTAATAATACGCATGGGGTGCCATTTAAATGTAATTATATAACGTTTTAGATTATATTCCCACACAAATATATTTAATTATTTTCTTAACAGGCAGGATCTCGAAATGATTGACTGTGATACGATCGTTTTCCAAAAAATGCCATTCTAGATGGCAATTCTTAACATTTTAAAAATATAATCATTGCAGTAATGAAACACTTGCTGTTCTTCAAAGGACCAGAATGCATCACAGAACGTAACCTTGGGACCTCTAGTGCAAATGCAATCAACGCAATTATACGGACATTTAGAAAAATATATTTTCAGTAAACAAATATGCAAGGATCTGATTTAATTGTTCAAAATCCTCAAAGGCTCTGACAAAATTAATTCAATGGACTTATTCAGAATTAACAGTGAACATGAACCAAACTATGTTAAACTTAGAGCAGGAGGGTGTTCTTTTTACAAAGGGTTGTAGAAGAATGGAACAGCCCTGACATGTTTCTGAAGCCGAATCCTAGAATAATGAATACCGTTCTTTCAAGAAATGGCTGGCTGAGATTCCTGGATCAATTAGGTACTAGGTATTAGGCCCCCTCTCATTTATAATCACTGTATGTTTCAGTTCTCTCTTTCATTTTCTTAAAATGCTTAGAAATATCTGGTGAGCGGATACCAGTTGAGTACATAATGAAAACTGTACTTACCACTGGACCCTTTTCAGTCCTTATCTCCTGTTTAGAGCTGTACAATGTTTAATGAAATAAGTGTATTTAATGGCATCTTATCTTTTTTTTTTAATAAAGCAAAAGTAAACAGATCGATCAGGCCTATTTCAACCATTGGGGAGTAAATAAATTGAGATTACGTGCAGGGACAGTTAAATCAGTTTTGTTCTTTGTCATTAAAGACAGCAGAAATGAAAGTCTATGAACTGTAACTCTTTACAAATATATTCAATTAACTAAAACAAGATATAACTGTAACCTAAGTGCTTCAGACAAATGCTAGCATGGAGCCTAACTGCCCTTCACCCCATCACAGCGTTGCAGTTTGGTCTCTTTGTAAAACTCAAGTCGGGCATGCACCCTAATTATTTGGTTCCATTTTACAATGCAAACTGGCCTGAATTAACTTGGGCACAGCAGAAAATCCATCATCAAAAACACCATAGCAACTATCTCTAAGGATGCTACCATCCATTCAAATTTTGGGGGAGAAAGAAGAAATAAAAATAAAAAGAAGGATTTGACATAGCAACACAAGATAGTGAGAAGACAAAATACTACCAATACTAGTTGGACAGATGGGCTCATTTAATAAACTCAAGTTCAAGGTTCTCAGAAATCATTCCAAAATGTAAGTCGAATTCTATTTTCTATGGGTCAGGGAGAAGGAATATTTCACCATCTACAGAAAAATTAAAATCAAACATCACAGTAACAAAAACTCATGGCAATTCTGATTTACCAAAGACCAGGAAAGTACACATACACATTTTTTTCTATGCGTCATATTAACATACTTTATAGAAAGATAATATATTAGTGTAGTGATTTCTACTGTGCCAACATTGCCTGCAAAACAGTGACAGTGATTCAGTCATCACGCGTTACTTTGAATTTCTTGGTGTGTGACCTACAATTTTTGACCAAACATTCAAGTTTCCTTTCAATGAATAAATTAGTTAAATCACATCATACATTTGCTATACTTTGATGCAATGTAGTTTGTACAACTTTAAACAAGTAAACCTACAGTATGAATAATTTAAAACAGTCTTACACAGTAGTCAGTTGTTTGTAGTACTACATTTTTCTAAGCCTAAAGCCTAAGATTTTTTGTTCCTTTCTTACATTTCCTAGAGATGAGTTTTAAAATAAAAAAAACACAAGCAATGGTATCTGTACAACCACTATCCTGATGTTCTAAAGTTCAAACATTCCTAAGTACGCTACAGCACAATGTAGTGGGTCTCACCACTGAAGTAATATCAGTGAGACCTGTCAAAATAGCATACAAATGCTATGGAGTGCAAGTGATTGCAAATCACCTGACGACAGACCAAATTCTTAGTATGTTAGGATGTTTCAGCAATGCTTCAGAGAACTACTGATGAAAACACAAAAGGTATTTAAGCATTATTTTTCTGAAAACATTTCCTACCTACCCGAACATTTGCTTCCAGTCTGCGAATTATTAAATGATGACATCCAGTACTATACTCAAATGGTTTAATCTTCAAAGGTTTGTTTGTAAGCCAGTTCAAAAGTAAACCTTCAAAGACTTAAAAGAGTTTATATGTATTCATGCAGTAGTGGACTCCCTCTAACAAATTTTTAATGCCTACTAACCTCACTGTGCGTTAAGCCAGCAGCCATATCACCCTGCAACTCACAACTGGCAACCCACTGAAGCTAAGCAGGTGTGAGCCTGGTCAGTACCTGGATGGGAGACCTCTTGGGAAAAACTAAGGTTGCTGCTGGAAGAGGTGTTAGTGGGGCCAGCAGGTCACCCTGTGGTCCATGTGGGTCCTAATGCCCCAGTATAGTGATGGGGACACTATACTGTAAACAGGCGCTGTCCTTCGGATAAGACGTAAAAACTGAGGTCCTGACTCTCTGTGGTCATTAAAAATCCCGGGGTGTTTCTTAAAAAGAGTACGGGTGTAACCCTGGCGTCCTGGCCAAATTTCCCATTGGACCTTACCAATCATGGCCTCCTAATAATCCCCCCTCTATAAATTGGCTTCATTACTCTACTCTCCTCCCCACTGATAGCTGATGTGTGGTGAGCGTTCTTGCACACTATGGCTGCCATCACATCATCCAGGTTGTTGCTGCACATTGGTGGTGGTGGAGGGGAGTCCCCATTACCTGTAAAGCGCTTTGAGTGGAGTGTCCAGAAAAGTGCTATATAAGTGTAAGCTATTATTATTATTATTATTATTATTATTAAAAGTCAGCAGCGCGCATTTTAAAATTCTGAGGTGCATTCTACTACTCACATATCAAGTTTGCATTCATTACTACACCTGCTCATTTTAGAACTAGCTGAACCCACCTGCATTATGGTAATGACTGGTCATTTCACAACTTTTCCCTTTACAAGCCTACTGCTTAGCGTATTGGCTACATTGTTTTAAAGCTTATAGCATTTTGGACTTGAAACTACTATATGCAGGAGGCACGGCTTATAACACTACTGCTTTGTAACCATTAGTTCCTGGGTTCAATTCTGGACCTGGGGTACTACCTGCCTGGAATTTGGATGTTCACCCTGTGTTCAGGTACTGTAGGTTTGCTCACACACCCCAAAACCATACCAGCAGGTTAATTGGCTTCTACGAAAACTGGCCTTGGTGCGAGTGTTTGCAAGTATGTTTATGTCTGTCTGCCCTGCGATGGACTGTCATCCCCGTCCAGGGTGTACTCTGGCTGGCATCTGCTGCTTGCCAGAATAGGCTCAGGCTTCCTTGCAACTGTGAACTGGATGAAGTGGTAAGAAAATGGATAATTAGATAGAAATACTAAAAGCTTGTGCATATTGCTAAAAGTACAGTTTCAATCAAGAGAAAATATTTGTAAAAATATCCGGTGCTGGATTGATTTCTGCTGATTTGTCAAGCACAGCAATCAGGCCTGGTCTATCAAATAAATGAGCATCCACTGCATGAAGTAATTAATGCTCCTGTGTTACCTCCTATTCTAAGCATAACTAACAAAATGTTAAAAAACACATCTTTACAGTAAGAGAGGAAATGCAAAACCCAGTTTGAAAAAACTAAGTAAGACCTGCCATTTCACCTCAAGCATTGCTGTATGCTGTAACAATCAGAAAATTATAAAAGGGCAAATGCCTTTTTACTCAAAGTGGGGAGTTCAATAT